GGGGAGCCAGGGGAAGGAGTCAGAGAGGCCAAAGGAGGAGTAAGGTCGGGGCCCAATGCAGCGGAGGCTACAGAGCCCGGTCTTCCAATACGGACCGACTCGGGGGCTTGGTCGCCCACCCCACGAGCCTGAGAAGGTAAACCAGAAGCAGCCGAAACAGGGGTTATCATCATTACGAAAAGAAGAATTCATTCACGAATGTGCCCCCACACCCACCATGGAGCCACAATTAGAGGCAGGACACCCAACAAGAAGCTATCGCCGATCTTGCCGGGGCCTCCTAGGGGTGCGTCGTGAGTATACGCCCCACAAACGCCACCTTAAGAAACCGACAGTCCGTCGAGATCGGGTTCAGTGACGAAAGGGGGATTGACAATAAAAGGTTCCCCTCGCTCTCGACGTCGGGTACTACAGTTCTACGGGTGCAAGAGTATGCCTCCCCAAGCACCCGGGCGTCAAAATCAACCAGTTTAAGTTAAAAACGAAGCTATACCTAATAAATTCCCTGTAACCTACCTTACCCCTCTGTTGTCAACCCATGTTTTTTTTTTTTTTTTTTCAAATCAACGCTGTTTGAATGTAGTTTTCTGTAATAATTTGCAATTGTATTTGTGCTGCTTTTTCAACAATGTTCCCCCCTCTTTTACCTCTATTTTTATTTGTTCTCAACACATTTTATTCTTTTTACCCATTAGTTTTAAGCTTTAGTCATTAATGTTTTTCCTGCCCGAAACGCTTTGCGTAATAGTGGCTTTAGGCATTGTATGTACTAGCTCTATCTATAAAGCCAACAAACTTTGTAAAATCTCTTTATGTATGTACCATACCTAAATAAAAATAAAAATTATTATTATTATTATTAAAAAAGAAGAAGTCCAAGGGAAGAACCAGAACGAGCAAGGTCGGCAGGAAACGGCAAGCAGATAGGAGAAAAGGGGGGAGAAAAACGAAACAGAAGGAAAAGGAAAAGGTGCCCAGCAGAATTGGAGAAGACGGCAGCAGGAGCACAAGGCTAGAAAAGGACAGAGGACTGTCCCAAGGAGCATCACACTCCGGCAGCCGCCCACTAAGCCCCCACACGGCGACAACGAGCTGAGCGGGGAGGGGGTGCCTTTGATAAAACCAAAGAGATTACTGGACATGTTATCACCTACAAGGTAGAGTAGCCTATTTAACAAAATCCTTTCCATCATTTTACAAAAGCAGGATGTTAAGGAGACAGGCCTGTAGCCTCCGTTTGACTTATTGATAACAGCCTCCTTCCATGACAGCCATGGAAGGAATGATGACAGCCTCCTTCCATTTTCTTAGTAACTTTCCCTCACTATAGCATGTTAAACAAATCAAGTAAGGTACTAGGTTTCATACTGGCTAAATAATTAAGAATGTCATACGTTACTCCATCTTTCCCCGGAGCAGTAGAGCTGCCACTTTTTATAGCATCCAGTAGCTCATCGTGAGTTATCTCAATGCATGTTACATATCTTGTATTTAAATCACAAAGTTACTCCATTTCTAATATTTTCCCATGACTCAATGGTGACTCGTGTCTTCAGGTAAGGACTCCATACCAGCAGCATTAGCCCATTAATCTACTAACTCATTAGCAACTTTCCCTGGATCTGAGTGAGCAATGAATTTGGTCTTACAACCCCTCATTTTATTTACTGCTTTCCATATGTCTAAGGTTCTTAGTATTACCAATGGACTGAGCAAAGTCTTGCCAGTATTTTGCGTCATTCAAAAACAAAACTAAAAAGTACCTAATTTCAGCCTCAGTTTTTTACCTTTTGCTTTAAAATTGCACTGTATCTATTGCTACCCAATCTCCCAATCTTTATGTACCCAATCCGAACATCTTTACCATTGTGATCATTGCTGTCTTATATGTGCTATCAATCTGCTGTATGGTGTCTATTAATCTTGTTTAAATTACCAATCAAGCTGTCAATGTAATCAATCAGAGCTTTAATATACCAATGTGCTTTAATATACTTACTAATCTCTCTCATCTCATTTTTGTCTTGCAATGTATCTTATATTATTAATTCTGCTAAAATTTGCCTACTTAAAATTATCTGTTAGATTAAGGACCTGTCCGAAACGCTGCGCGTACTAGTGGCTTTACAAGATTGTAAATACTGTGCTATGTATTCTCTCAAACCCAATGTACGTTCTTGTATATAACTAAATAAATAAAAATAAATAAATAAGTATCTGGCTCGCGCCTCCCTCACCCGACTGCATTCCCTAGCCACTTCCAACATTGTATTTTTCTCTTCATCCCTCATTCCATTTTTTAACCATTCTTTCTGCGCACTCCGTAGCATTCTCTCCCACCCCTTAATTTGCTGATCATTGGAATATTTAAATTTCTTGGGTCCATGCGTCTTGCTTCCCCTGCCCCCGTTATTTTTCCTCTGTACTAATTTCTCTATGTTCTCGACCATGTCCTCGTAAAAACTATCAACGCAGAGCGGCGTTTATTGTTGATACCAATCTCCCATATTTTGAATAAAATTTTCATATCTTTGGAGCGAGTATATTATTGGGATAATCTACTCGCTACGCAGTGGTAATTCAATGTTCAAGACAAAGTGGTCATTAAGTAGTTCCGGAACAACCCGAGCCTCCCCCATAATCCCCTGAGAGTTTAACATGCAGGCATAGTCAAGCCATCTTTCCCTGATGTGAGTTGGTTTATTATTTTCCAAGAGACAGGTATCTGGATGATCTTGCAGAAACTGTAACCACTTGACCCCATTAGCATTAATACTACCCACTGTCCCAAGGCTTGTGTGCCGAGCATTAAGGTCCCCAATGACCAGTGAAGGATTAGTATAAATGCAGTCAGGTAGATAGTGAGGGTCGAAGCAGTTCTTGGATACATACAAATTAACTGCAATAAATTCCCCCTTCCCTTTATGATAATTTAACGCACACACTCTCTATACCTTGCGTTTTTGACGGCGGTTCTACCAACTCTGCTGGTATGGAGTTCTTAACATAAATCAACGTCCCTCTGATGTTATTTGCAGCGAAGAGGTGAAACCCTTTATAGCATTTTTAATTTCAATAAGCCTTCATTCCTATCCCCGGTTTCCTGGAGAGCTACAACACCATTGTTATGTGATGGGAAATGATATTGAACATCTGTAACCCTGTTTCTTAAACCATTAACATTCCATGACAACACTTTCAGTCTAGGGTGATCCATTATTAATCAATTCACTTTCTAAGTCATCCACAATAAGTTCACTAAATGATAACCATACCTTGTATAACATCTCCCACCTCCTCCCAACGTCACCAGTAAAAGCAACATTGCGTTTCTCAAGAGATTTTTTCAGTCCCGTGACGTCCATTATTAACCCAAATGATTCCTTCATTTTATTTATTTATTTATTTATTTATATACAAGAAGGTACATTGGGATTGTGAGGATACATAGCATAGTAATTACATTCTTGTAAAGCCACTAGTACGAGCAGCGTTTCGGGCAGGTCCTTACTCAAGAAAATTTTAAGTAGGTAAATGCTTGCAAAATTTATAAAAATGATAACAGTTACAAAGCAAGAAAAAAAAATAAAAGACGAGAGAAAAATTGTAGGTATATTAAGGCACATAGGTAGCTCAGATTGATTGCAATGACAACTTGAATGGTAGTTTAACAAAAAATTAGTAGGCACAATACAGCATTATGTGTACAGCATAATACAATTATGTGTAATTATAGAGTTCTTCCTTTCACTAAGACTATCATCATTCACACACGCTTCACTTTAATTCATTTCATAACTCTATATTTCATTATTGTTCTCAACCACTATATCCTGACTTTCCTTCACTGTTTTGTGACTTTCCTTGACCTTCATCTGAACGTTTAATTTCGCCTCGATGGACTATTCTCTGCCCAAGATTTCGGAGGAACTCACCAACTTTTCTTAGTTCAGCCCACACCTTGACCATACCATTATGGCCCTCTTTCTGAGCCACAGTAGCCACTTCCCTCACCGTTACAGTCACTGCCGGAGTCCTGAGTGGTGGCGTGGCTGCTTAATTGTTGCTTGAGCCTGACGAAGTAAAGGCGACTCTTTTTACCCACGCATTCGTCCGGTTCACTGGTGCTGTTTGAGGCAGACTGTTCTGCTGTGCTCCCGGTGTCTGGGTAAGAGCTCTTGCCTGCCCTGTAACATTCACCGGCCGGGGAACATCCATACTCGGCCTCTTGCTACACACAGCCGAGCTGGCATTGTGAACATCTCCACAGTTGCAGCATCTGGGGAACTATTTTCTCACCCAGATTAAGTCTGTTTCTACACACATTAGAGAGGCGTTACATCCTGTCTTCTCCGTTTCTTCTGTTGCCTGGGTATAACTTCTTCAAACTCACTCTCCTCGACTGACTGGCGGCTTTCTGAGTCCATGTGAATATTGCCGTGGGAAGTAGCCAGTTCTTCTGGTGACTGAGTCTCCATCTCAGTACCCAGCATGGGGGAGATGTGTAGAATCCGATTGATACTAGTCAGTCTCCTCGTGTGTAGACTGAGCTAAACACCAATACTAACTTCACCCCTAGTCGCGGAGCAGGTACTTCTTGACCCGACCGCGTCCCAGGTAAGACTGGGTACCTGGTTGTTAAACGATTTGGCGGGTCGTATTACAGGGAACATTTGGTTTAAGAACTTACTTGAAACCCTGTGCGTGCTAGTGGCTGTACAACAATGTAACAACTATTGTATATATAAATAAAATGAAACAATTGAGTAGTTAAATTTTGCTAGAAATTATCTACTTAAAATTATCTGATAGATTAAGGACTTGCCCTAAACGCTATGCGAGCTAGTGGCTTTACAAGAATGTGAAAACATCAATGCTATGTTCTCTCATAAACCCAATTTACCTTCTTGTATACAAATAAATAAATGGATCTATATATATAGATAGATAGATAGATATATGGTAGTATAATAGGGTGGTTGGGCTTTGTGAGAGCCATCTAGTGGAGCGGGGCGGCAGCGGCGAGAGGTGGCGGCGGCCGCTCAGCACAGAACTCCACTTTCCCTGCCTCTCACAACAACAATGGCGGTGTCAGCTGTCACCTGTGTGCTCCTGGCCCTGCTGGCCTGGCCCCCCATCACCGCCTCCTCCTCCCTCGAGGTCCTGGCCGAGGACGAGCTCAGGCAACTGGCGGCTGACGAGCACTACGTGGTAGTCCTCTTCGGTGAGTGGCCCTCTGCCTGGCACAGCTGCCACCCTGCAGTGCTACCGGCCTCCTGCCCTCTACCTGGCACAGCTGCCACCCTGCAGTGCCACCGGCCTCCTGCCCTCTGCCTGGCACAGCTGCCACCCTGCAATGCCACCGGCCTCCCGCACTGCTCCTGCCCTCCTCCTACCCTCCTGCCCTCTGTCTGCCCTCCGTCTGCCCTCCTCCTACCCTCCTTCCTGCCCTCCTCCTACCCTCCTTCCTACCCTCCTTCCTACCCTCCTCCTACCCTCCTTCCTGCCCTCCTCCTACCCTCCTTCCTGCCCTCCTCCTACCCTCCTTCCTGCCCTCCATCTGCCCTCCATCTGCCCTCCTCCTACCCTCCTTCCTGCCCTCCTCCTACCCTCCTCCTACCCTCCTTCCTGCCCTCCATCTGCCCTCCTCCTACCCTCCTTCCTGCCCTCCATCTGCCCTCCTCCTACCCTCCTTCCTGCCCTCCGCCTGCCCTCCTCCTACCCTCCTTCCTGCCCTCCGTCTGCCCTCCGTCTGCCCTCCTCCTGCCCTCCGTCTGCCCTCCGTCTGCCCTCCTCCTACCCTCCTTCCTGCCCTCCGTCTGCCCTCCTTCCTGCCCTCCGTCTGCCCTCCTTCCTGCCCTCCGTCTGCCCTCCTTCCTGCCCTCCGTCTGCCCTCCTTCCTGCCCTCCGTCTGCCCTCCTTCCTGCCCTCCGTCTGCCCTCCGTCTGCCCTCCTCCTACCCTCCTTCCTGCCCTCCGTCTGCCCTCCTCCTACCCTCCTTCCTGCCCTCCGTCTGCCCTCCTTCCTGCCCTCCTCCTACCCTCCTTCCTGCCCTCCTCCTACCCTCCTTCCTGCCCTCCGTCTACCTGACAAGTTAGCGGGGATTAGATTAAATAATAATGTTAGACAAGTGTGTCTCACATGTTGGAAGATGGTCGACTTGAGCTAGAGTCTCCTTTTCTGGCCTCGGAGTCCTCGGCTCGTGGCCCCCGTGCCCTGGGGGTCGTGGCCCCCGTGCCCTGGGGGTCGCGGCCCCCGTGCCCTGGGGGTCGTGGCCCCCGTGCCCTGGGGGTCGCGGCCCCCGTGCCCTGGGGGTCGCGGCCCCCGTGCCCATTTTCTAGAACTTGCCAGAAGGCCATCACCTGATTTACCCGAGGGACCACTAACACTAGTGGTCAGCGAGGCCACAAGTGCTAGTGGCCACTCGATGAGGACAGGAATCTGGCGGCTTGTCGAAGGCCCTCCCCCCCCCCCTATTTGCCTTGATGATCCTTTCCAGGCGGATTTTAAAACCTAAATCTACTATTCCCCTACTATTTCTTACCCCAAGGTAGACCACTGTGTTACAGTACCCATTGATATATTTGTAATGCTATATAGTCTTAGTGGCTTAGCGCTTTCTCCTGATAGTTCCCTAGCTAGCCAATCAAAATCCATAAAAGTAAAGATTCTAGATTTTTATTGCAGTTTGCTGATTTATGCTACAAATCTGAATTGATTGAGTAGGTTTTGTTCCATGATTCATATGGAAATTTTTCGTCAAGTTTATCTCTGCCATTTTTATATTTCTTGGTTTAAAAAATGCCTAGATTATCAAAGTAGCAGTTAACAAATAATTAACCTTGCCGATCAGCTCTACAGAATGCTTGGCTTTATATTTCATAATGGATATGTTTTAAATTTTCCTATTTCTTTAAGGCTTTAACTTTATACTGTCTCATTCTAAATGTTGTGGCAAGCCTAGAACCTTTTACCATTGTGTAGGTGACAGCAGTGAGTGCACTGGAAGATGTAAAGAGCTGGAGGGCACACTGGCATTAATAAGAGAAGATATCGTCGAGACGTTTAATGCTTGGGTGGTGCGGACCCACTCTCCCTCTCTTGCTGAACAGTATGGTCTGAACAACAAGGTAAGCGTACTTGCCGTCTCTTGGCTTATTGTAATGGTTTTGATCAAAGGTCAGCATGATATATTAATATTTAGCATCTGTTCATTTTTACCTGTTAAGTTGAATGTAATTGGAGTACAGAATTGCATTGCTTAATTAAATGGTTAAACAAATTACACAATAAAATATTGAAGTAAATTTAAATTTTTCTACCCTGTAGTATAATATTTTTAACAAAGTAAATTCCTGCAGAAAATGGGTGCTGGTGTTGTTTTCATTCGTAATGGAATCCCCTTGCTGTACAGTGGTCCTGCAGATGATGATGAATTCATGTTGAATTATTTAATTGCCAATCCAGAGTCAACTGTCCACCAACTGAGTGATGTTAACTTTGAGGCAAGTATAAAGAAACTACTTTTACACTTGAGCATAAAACCAAAATTTCTATGTGGTGAGAATTGGGTATCCTATGTGTATGGCAGTACAAGAAACATGTCTATTGATATTGGATCATGTAACCCTACCTTCCCTGGTGGGAAATTCTAGTGTTTTATTAAAGGTTGGGTAGGAAGAGGTTTAAGACCCCCTCCACAATCTTTCTGACTGGTCTCTGTTATCTTTAGGAAGATGCAAACAAATTCTGTTAAATACTTTTCCTGTGGAGAGCCCCGTCGGCTCTCTGGAGCTATCGAACTGATAAGGGATATATTAGTCTGGGGCATCAGTCTATTGGAGTTCACCCTACCGGGGACCATGAGCCAGAACCTGGCCCCCCCCCCCCTCCCCCCTCAGAGAGGCACAGGCAGCAATGGCCTATGGAAACCCCCATGTGGTTGGGGGCATTCCATGTCTGCCATTGACCAGGGTTAGGCACCCAGAAGGTAGGCATAACAAAACAAACCCCACTTAAAAAATTGCAACCGAAAATTGAACAGAGGCAGAACTCCCCCAACACCCAAGGAAACAAGTAAACTTCATACACCGCAGCCACGCCGCTTGTCCGCGCAGCCCTCCTGTCCTCGGGAGGGGGAGGAGGGAGCCCCGAACCCCCCACACAAGCTACTCACACCTCCAGTTCGTTGGCCGATGTGATCTGGGGCGGTCGTCAACTCTGGCCTCAATATCTTGGCAGGGTTTTGCCTTACTGGTGTTCTCTGCTGTTTTGTGGTGCAGTGGCCAAGTATAACTTCAGTGTACTGGGGCTGCATGCACTTAGGGCTACCTTCCCTAAGCATCTTATAAGTACTACCCTTGGTTCCTAGGGTTACCTTGCATAGTGCCTTCGGGACTCCACTTCCATAGGGGATTCTTGCTGCTTGGCATTTACCCTGCCCTTGGGGCCAGCTGGGGTTTCGTGTCTTTTGTTTGGCCTTGGGTAGGAAGTGGTTTTGTTGCTGGTAGGGGCGCAAGGTGCTGCACAGCTTGCCTACCAACACTGCGGCTGTGTTCCTGTTCCTTCTGGTGACGTACTTTTGTGGGGGTTTTCTTTTTTACTTTCCTTGCTTGGAGGTGGTCTGCCTCGTTTGACTATTGGTTCACCTAGGGTATTTTTGTGGCCCTCCTCTATCTAGGCCCCTGCCTGTGATTGGACATGTCGCAGGGGTTCAGCTTTAGCTCATCTGTTAGTTTTTGGGTTTAACCGGCTTTACAGCACCTTGCTGGGACTTCCCGTAGCGATCAGCCTGCAGGGCCTGGAAAACCCTGTCAGGGCTCGGTAGACTGATGGATGCGTCTTCAGAGTTCCAGCTCACCTTGTGCGAGTTTGAAGGTTGCTCTGTGCCCTTGTCTCAGGGTGACAGTCACCTTTTTTTCCTCCGTCATGCTGCCTGTTGGGTCAACAACACCTTTGACCCAGAGTCTTGCAAGACATGTTCTCTGCTAGTGCTCCAATTTTCCCATTCTATTGACATTGAGGTTCGGGTACTGGTGGCATCCGCATTTCAGGCCCGGTTTAGGTTGCTATAATGCACTAGATTGGTTGCCCACTTGGATGCCCCGAGGCTGGCCCGTTTTGGTTATAGCGACCCTGACTTAGGGGCGTTGGTCGCGTTGACTCTGGTTCAATCCGCGCCTCCCAGTCCTTCCCCAGTTGGCATTGTTCTGAGGGTTTGGAGTCGGGGCAAGGTTTAATTGATAAGACTCGGGCGGCTTCAGGGGCTGCCCCTTTGAGTTGGGGACAGAGGCATTCGAGCCTGCTCTGCCTGCCGAGGCTTCTGGGTCCTACCAGCAGACTACCTTCTTTGCTACCTTTCTCCTGGACTCTGCCTTTTCTTCAGGAATAGAGGGCGTGAAGGACGGCTCTGCCCTGGGTCCTGGTTTGGAGGATCCCGGGGTTGGGGAGGAGTTGACCTGGAGAGGCTTGGACCACCTTTGATCCCGTTTGGGATTTGGTGCCCTCTTCTCAGGGTTTGTTGTTGCAGGAGGGCTTTTCTTAACCCCCCCCCCTCCCTGTATGAGTGATTTGGGGTCAACTCCTCCCCGGGTTCAGTTCTGGGTTCCCTTGGGTTGCTTGGCCCCTTCCAGAGGTTTTTTGCCTCGAATCTCGCCTAAAGAGATTCGGGAGGCTCTTGCGGCGTACCTCCTGCAAGACCTGGATTCTGCCTCTGTGATGAATCCGTCCTAGTTTGAGTTCGGTTCTTCTTCCCTGTATTGGGTGCGTTATGAGGTTCTGGAGTCTTCCTGGCTTGCAGACTGCCTTTTCTTTTCGTAGAGATCATGGCATAAGTTTTGTCGGACTCGCACTTGAATGGCAGGAGGCTGCTACCGTTCTGCAGATTTACCTTGGTGGGCGAGTTCAAGCACCTTAATGCATGCTTGTTTGCCCTTGTGCTTCCTCGAGATGTGGGCCTTGTGCAGCTGCACGTGCAGTTTACACCTTTTTGGTGTCTTTGGTAGCTGAGGACTTGCGTGCTTGAGGACATTTGGCCTCGGTATTGCGCTGCTTTTTCCTTCTCGAGCTGTCCTCGGACTGGCTTGGGGAGGATGTGATGGCGTTGAGTGCCAGGCCTTTGTCTGGGGCGCTGGCCTCGGCGGCTCGGGCGGCAGCCGCACTGTTGAAGCCATTTGCGCCGATTCTCAGGGAGGCAGTTCCTCTGTTCTTAGCTTCTCGCCTCGCGTGCCGCCAGGCCGTGCTCACTCTCTCCTTGGAATCCGCTTGGGCCCTGGCTCTTAGGTTTTTAATTTTTTTTTTTTTTTTTTTTTTTTTTTTTTTTTTTTTTTTTATCCGTTGCTGTTTGCAGAGACTGCTGTCAATCGGTTTCTGCAGGCGGCCTCGTCTAGTTGTCGTCCTATATCGGACTTGTTGGTTCTGTGGTGGCCGTTCTTAGGCTTCTCGGAATGTTTGGGGTTCTTCCAGTTGGGGTAGGCCATTGGTGCCAGTTTCTGAGCTAGCGCTTCCTTCAGAGCCTGCGTCGTCTGGCCAGCGTGATGCTTGCTCTGCTCGTTGGCCAGCGTGATGCTTGCTCTGCTCGTTGGCCAGCGTGATGCTTGCTCTACTCGTTGGCCAGCGTGATGCTCGCTCTACTCGTTGGCCAGCGTGATGCTCGCTCTACTCGTTGGCCAGCGTGATGCTCGCTCTACTCGTTGGCCAGCGTGATGCTCGCTCTACTCGTTGGCCAGCGTGATGCTCGCTCTACTCGTTGGCCAGCGTGATGCTCGCTCTACTCGTTGGCCAGCGTGATGCTCGCTCTACTCGTTGGCCAGCGTGATGCTCGCTCTACTCGTTGGCCAGCGTGATGCTCGCTCTACTCGTTGGCCAGCGTGATGCTCGCTCTACTCGTTGGCCAGCGTGATGCTCGCTCTACTCGTTGGCCAGCGTGATGCTCGCTCTACTCGTTGGCCAGCGTGATGCTCGCTCTACTCGTTGGCCAGCGTGATGCTCGCTCTACTCGTTGGCCAGCGTGATGCTCGCTCTACTCGTTGGCCAGCGTGATGCTCGCTCTACTCGTTGGCCAGCGTGATGCTCGCTCTGCTCGTTGGCCAGCTTCACGCTCTGCTCGTTGACCAGCTTCTCGTAAGGGGGTGTTGGCCCTTTTGCGTGTTGCCCCGTTAATGGGGTGATTGGGGGGGAGACTTGCGCTGTTAGTTCACGCCTGGTCCAACGATTCGTGGGCATTTCAAGTCGTCTCTTCCGGGCTGTGGTAGCGTTGGGCGGCTTCTCCTCCTATTGAGGGTTCGGGGCTGGCAGCCAGGCTTCTTCCCCTGCGCTGTGGGGTCATCTTGGAGTGGGTGCGCTTGGGAGTGGTCGAAACGACATTGTTCCTCAGGTGGGTTTCCTGCCTGTTTCCAGTGCCAAAACGGGACTGTGTGGATCTGCTGTTCATTCTGGACTTGTCCTGTCTAAACCCCTGGATTCTTTGCCCTTCCTTTCGGATCACTACTGTCGTCTGTAGGATGGCGTCTCTGGACCTCTGTGACGCACCTTGGCACGTCCTGACTTTTCCTAGGTTCAGGGACTAGCTAGGTTTCATTGTGGGGTGGTAAGCTTTCCGCTTTCGTTGCCTTTCTTTTGGCTTGAATCTGGCACCTCGCGTATTAACGCATCTTACCCGGGTCATGGTGACCTGTCTGCATCTGCTAAGGGTTCGGGTTTTGGCATACCTCAATGACTGGTTGGTGTGGGCTCCCAGCTGGTCTGCTAGTCTGCTCGCCAGGGGTGTGGCTCTTTTCTAGCTGCCAGGTTCGGGTTCCTGGTGAACTGGAAGAAGTCCCATCTGGTTCCATCCCAGGATCTGACCTGGCGGGGCCTCGTGTGGTACTCTTGGACCATTACCATGTCTCTCCCCCTGGAGGCATTGCTGCAGCTGCTGTCCCATCTTCAGCTGTTTCTGGGGAGATCCCAGGTCACTCGGAAGGTTGCCCGAAACTTCCCCCTGCTGGTTTACCTGCCGAGTCGGGTCTGGCTTCGGTGTCTGTTTTGGATCTTTCAGGGATGTCCCTTCCACCTCTCTTGCAATTGCTGGGTACGGCCTCTGTGGACCTTGCGTCAGTTGCTGCGCCACCGGCTTCCTTTTCAGGTTTTTCTGGATTCAGTACCTTGGCACCTACCTGAGCCTTCACTCGATGTGTTCATGGATGCCTTGTCTCTCGGCTGGGACTTTGTGACCAGTTTTCACCAGGCCAGCCAGGGGCGGTGGGCTCCATCTTTTCATCGGGCTCGCTGCACCATGCGGTAATTTGCGGGGGTTTGACTGTTGCTTCAGAAGGTTCGGGTCGCTCGGGAATCCATGATCCGACTCCATTCGGACTGCTCTCCAGTGGTTCATTGTCTGAACTGCGGGGGTTCTCTTTAGTTCGTGGCTCTTTGGGGCTGGTCACTTTGAGTGACTCGTCTGCTAGATTCTCAGGGTTTGGTTCACCGTGCAGTTCATGTCCAGGGTGTGTCCACTGGCCTGTCT